CTCAATTAATATGTTGGTTACCCACCAATGCAGGGTCTCTACTTCCTGTTTTGAATCAAAGAAATGGTACATCAAGCACATGTTGCTATTTAGTAGTTCTAAAACATAATCACCCAAAAACTGAGTCAAACATGTTCTTTTATGAAATAAACATAGACTGCAGATCCTGGTGTCAGATACGATTGAATATTTTGTTATGGTTTCATAGTAAGGTAACCTGCAAACTCTTCAGGATGAGGAACAATGATACTAAAAAGTAAAAACGTAAGTTCTGGATCCTTACCTTTTCATTGCCAAGCACATTCTTATGTCCTACTTGAGCTTCCACCAGAAATTGAACCATCCACCTTATGCATGAATAGTTGAGGAGGCTCTTCTCTGTAACAAGTACGATTAAAATTTTTCAATAACCATCAGTTGGAGCAGAACCACTATGTTTTTGTGCTTGCTATATTTAAGTCCTGAATGTTTCACTTTCGATTCAAATCCCAATACATCCTTAGTTCTAATTTTCATATTATTATTAATCAACATACCTATAACATTTTTTTTGTTCATCCCACCTTGAATTCTTTAGTGTATGATGGAGTTGAAAGAAAGATTTTGGTGTATATGCAATAGAAATGCAAGTAGAAATCTTTAAAAAAGTAGGAAAGTCAAAACATAAGCTAACAAGTAATGGACAAAGGAAATGGTAGGATCCCAATAAGTGTTGCTAGTATCACATTGTTGGCAAAAAGGGCATATTCAGTTAAACAATATTAAAATGAGAACATGATACATGCAGACGGCAAAACTAGGTAAAAGAAAAAGGTAAGTAAGCATTGCCACAACATGTTCTCATCACATCAAATATGCTCAGACTTCTCTATTCTCCTTTCTCACATACTTCCTCTCCAATCCCACATGAACTCTATAATCCTTTTAAGTGTCATATTCATTTTTTTAACTTGACATAATTTCATAAATAAAGACAGAACCCAACAATCATAGTTTAAAGCAAGAAAAGAGACAACTACCTAAAAGTAGTAGAAAGATATCTTCCAGTTAAATACTTCGTCCAAATGGTAACAAAATTTGTGTGCAGCAAATTTCAAGCTGAGAAGAACAATGAAGCTGAAAGGAAGCAGAAAATGATAGAAACTAACATTTCATTAGCGCCCTGGTAAGTGCGGCTTGATGCAACAGCCAAAAGTTGTCCCCCATGGTTGTAAGATATGGATGCAACACTATTTGGGAATTT